GTATTAACCGTGGGATTAATAACCGGCGACTACTGTATTGTACAAACCGAAAAACACAAAATAACGGTCAACCATTTGATGGGCTTCCAAACTTAAAAGCATATGTATAGGATATTTTCTGAATTTTGAAATATTTGCTTTCTATCAAACTTGCTTCTGAGTGCAATCGATTTTAGATTCCTCCCTGTATTTTTCAAAAATGAGGAGCACCTAATTTTCTCTGCGCACATGTTTATTTCGAGCGACCCAATTATGAAAAATTCGTGGCCTCGGTGGAAGTCAAACCCACAAAGCAGGGAAGGCTTCTGCGCAGGCAACGCTCTATCATTTGAGCTACGAGGCTCACCGTGCGCCGTGAATTTAATCAGGCTTAGGTCGATTTGTTTGCCCAGCTTTACTGTACGTATGGAATTCACAAATACGGACGCAGTAAGCTGACTGCTAGGCAGGATTACCTAATTAATCATCTAGGATCCACCAGAATGACCCAAGTGCGATTAAATTCAAAGTGCACAGTGAGCCTCGTAGATCAAATGGTAGAGTGCTGGCTCCGCAGAAGCCTTCCCTGCTGTGTGGATTCGACTCCCACCGAGGCCGCAAATTTTCTACAATTAGGTCAATCGAATTATTGAAATCTGCCAAATCCCTAACATTTACGTTTATTCTTACATTAAGGGTGTGTTTTATTTCTCATAAAACCTGAAAACATGTGCATTTATGGAAACAACCTGTTTTGACCCATGCTGTTCCGGTTTTCAAACTATGGGCTGGTCAATTTTTCTGAGCAAAATTTGAATTACCTTCCAAGGTCCAGTAAAGCTGCCTTCCAGTACTCGTAGAATATTGTTATAAACATTAATCGCACCGATGAGCATCGAACAACATGTGGACTAGCTAGGCATACCTACTGTCCCCTTGCAGCGGTAAGGGCTAACAGATAAGACAGGGGGAACTCAGATGACAGAACTGACTTCCCAGAGAATGAAGCCAGACGTCAAATGATCCTCATCAGGATTAATTATGCGGTCACCTCTACAGGAAGAGGCCTCTGCTGTTTGCTTAGTTATCGAAATGCACAAGGATAGTTTGCTCTGCAAGTGCAAAAAATATTCTGTTTTATTATTCATGCGTGCGTCTATGCAGTATATAGTGGTGTATGGAAGAGTATTCATTGGGTTGCCTTGACAGTTCCATCAAATGCCTATGAGCGTGAGGTGATCATCCGGTCACATTCCCGTAACCGATATTATTGTGTACCGCTGAGGATAACCAGTGATGCTCTCCTGCACCAATTTATTTTTACGTGGAGTCCGGTTCGGCTACAAGAGGCACAGAAGAGGCTGTTTTTGCCAAATCAGCACCTGAGTCCAGGGCCAGATGCAGGTGCTGGTGCTTCGGCTTTGTTTTGCCGCGAAAGCAAACTTAATGCTCTGTAAGTTACAATCAGGAGCATCTACTTCAGACGCAAAAAATAAACCCCTTCTTTCAGTCATGGTTATGGATATGATGATAGTAAGCCTACTTACCTTCAGCTCCTGCCTCAGCTGCAGCTGCCGCAGCCTCCTTAGCAGCTTTAGCCGCTGCTGCCGCCGCAGCCGCTAAAAGGAAAAATATGATAAAGTTAGTGTTACTTTTAAAGATTCAGTAACTACCGTATGTTGCCAAAAATAGTATACCTGCAGCCGCTATTAGAGTTTTCGCACGCTCCGTGGCCTCCTCCGTCGTTAACTCAAGTGCGCTAGCAAATGTGAACGGTAAAAAAATTGAGCAGGGTGTCTTTAGTTTCGCTGGTGTCCAAATCATTTGAATTTCGCTGGCCAACCTCAGGTTTGGCCCCAACCACGGACTGGAGTAGCCGCGAACAGGAGAAGGGACCGGGGCAAAAACGAACTTGTCCTTTTTGCCGCTGAAGGCATTCTTTCCGAAATCTGCCTTGGCACCGTTTATGGTCAACATCGTTCCGCCGGTTTTCTTAACAACCAACTCGGTTTTCAGAAGCGGTGGACTGAAAGAGAAGACGACGGATAGAGCGGTGGATTCAGAACCCTGATTTGCAGTCATGCAGGTTTCAGTATAGGTTTTAGGCATGAACTAATTGGCTTTTGACTCCTAAACCCAAATCTGTGTCTGAGTAATTTTCTAAAATTCTTCACGAGATCGACACGTGTTCACTCTATTCCTTCCATCTAATGAACTACTTACAAGAATTGTCTTCAAAAAATATAGTTCTCAATGGCACAGACTCCAGATTGTTTCTTTCAGAATTTCCCATAAAAGAGGATGTAATACCAGAAAGGCAAATTAAGAATTTTTGAGAGTGAAATTAAAAAGAAGTTTGATTAAATGAGAGGTTCAAGGCAGAATTGCAGATACAGTTTGCTCTATAAGCACAGTACAAACCGGCCATGACGCAACAGGCATAGAAGAGGACTTTTTGCCAGGTCATGAACTGAGCCTTAGTCCATTTGCAGATGACTTGAACTAGTGTTGTCGCGAAAGTGAGGTTAATGCCACGCCATTTACTCCCAGGAGCATCGACTTCAGACACAAAAATAGACCACTTCCTACAGCCACGGCTGTGGATGATGATGATGATGATGATGATGATGATGATGATGATGATGAT